AGAAACAATAAGATACAAACAAAGGAGGGGGGGGGGGGGGGATGGGGGGTAGTATTGCACATAAAACATGTCTCCATAAAAAAGGCTACAGGTAACCTGTGATATCTTTTATGTGTAATAGTACATATCGGCCAATACAGATTTCACCAGCACTAAGATACCATGTTAGTGCAAATCCATTTTATTGACAGTTGTCATTGAAATGACAAGCACTTTCGGGGCCGTGCAGGCTCAGAAATGGCATTGCATATACGTACCACAACCTTTATACAGGCATACTAGAATGTGTATATAAAGGTTGTGGTACTTTTATGCAATGTCATTTCTGAGCCTGAAGAAGGGGACCCTGTGCGGCCCCGAAAGTGCTTCTCGTTTCAATGACAACTGTCAATTAAATGGATTTTGCACTAACATGAAATCTTAGTGCTGGTGACATCTGTATTGGAGTTCTGTTGTGAGAGGCGCCATCCACTTTTGGGATATACAGAAAGGAGGGCGGCAAGGTATATGGATACAGCTTTGTAAAGTACATATCTGGGAACCTGTGGCACACTGGCATCTTATGGGGGCATTGTTTATGTACAGAATGTATATCTGGGGACCTGTGGCACACTGGCATCTTGTGGGGGCATCGTTTATGTACAGAATGCATATGTGGGGACCTGTGGCACACTGGCGTCTTATGGGGGCATCGTTTATGTACAGAATGCATATCTGGGGACCTGTGGCACACAGGCGTCTTATGGGGGCATCGTTTATGTACAGAATGCATATCTGGGGACCTGGCACACTGGCGTCTTATGGGGCATTGTTTATGTACGGAATGTATATCTGGGGACCTGTGGCACACTGGCGTCGTATTGGGGCATCGTTTATGTACGGAATGCACATCTGGGGACCTGTGGCACACTGGCGTCTTATGAGGCATTGTTTATGTACGGAATGTATATCTGGGGACCTGTGGCACACTGGCGTCATATTGGGGCATTGTTTATGTACAGAATGTATATCTGGGGACCTGTGGCACGCTGGCGTCATATTGGGGCATTGTTTATGTACGGAATGCATATCTGGGGACCTGGCACACTGGCGTCTTATGGGGGCATCGTTTATGTACGGAATGCACATCTGGGGACCTGTGGCACACTGGCGTCTTATGGGGGCATCGTTTATGTACAGAATGCATATCTGGGGACCTGTGGCACACTGGCGTCTTATGGGGGTATCGTTTATGTACGGAATGCATATCTGGGGACCTGTGGCACACTAGCGTCTTATGGGGGCATCGTTTATGTACGGAATGCATATCTGGGGACCTGGCACACTGGCGTCTTATGGGGGCATTGTTTATGTACAGAATGCATATATGGGGACCTGTGGCGCACTGGCGTCTTATGGGGGCATCATTTATGTACAGAATGCATATCTGGGGACCTGTGGCGCACTGGCAAGTGGTGATTAACTCCATATGATTTGTGATACATTGTGATTAACTCCAATGTTATTTAATCACAAAATATATGTGCAGTGTATACTTTACAAAAAAGTTGCCTCGAGGTGCCATAGCATTTGGGTTAGGCTTGAAGAAAAGGTGGCAACCCTAACCTAATGGATGGCTATGGCAATAAAGATGAGGAGTGCTGTTACATGCTTGGCTGAGGCTCTGAGTATTTGTGAACTGCACTTTATTTACACCAGGATAGACTATCAGATCTAAGGGCCCAGTCAGACCATAAAGAGTGCTTTCCAGAACGTTCGGCCTCTGGAACTCAACCCAGCCGGCACTTTGTTTTGGGGCGGGAGGGGTCATGGGGGTGCATTGAAGTCAATGGCACCACTGCCATGCCTGCCCGCATTGCGATTGCCGGCACCCGAACGCGTGGCAAAATAATGCCTGCGATCCAGTCCAGTGCGATTTGCAAAAAAAGCTGCATGCTGCAACAAAGCAGTGACTCAAGAAGCACATTAAGGTCATGTGGCCTAGCCAGTCTAATCCTAGACCCTAATCCTATAGAAAAGTTATGGAGGGAGCTGAAAGCGACAGCCAAGAAACCTTAAGGATTTAGAGAAGATCTGTAAAG